CGGTAGATATAAGGTCACATATTTCAGTGTAAAATGGATATGAAAGGACTCTTTTTTTGCTGTCTCAGCCAGTAAGCTGAGGAAATATATTGTATCCTGACTTTGGTCAAATAGTTTTAACTTGTGTTTAGTGTAAAAGTAAAATAAATAAATATTTAAAAATGTGGTTTCATTTTTACTTTGTTTCCTATTTACAGATATTATTTCACTTGCAGAACTAAGTTAAATTAATTAGAGTACTTTGGTTGGCAGTACAAAATAACTGATGTTTTGGTTTTGATATGAATGCAGTGGAACTGTGCACTTCCATTATGCTTTGTAGCTATTTTTTTCTGGCTCCAACTGCACCACTACAGAATACAAATTTATCATAATTATCAAGAATGACCCACATGTCACATACCTGATTTACACAAAAATCATCTGCTTAACTCCAGCTGAGACCAAAACAATGGTCTTGGGCAATAGGGTTGTCTGAACTGATTGACAACATCATTTGTAGGATATCTTTGGTGCTGATGAAGCCATATCAACTTGAGTTCTTCCACAACAGTGGCGTTCTGGTCAGTTCTTAAAAGGAAAGCTGTCAGATGACTGCAAAAGATGCTAGTGTTTCAGCAAATGGTGTCTTTTAATTGGGGTCATAAATGTTCTTGTAGTTTCATGTATTATTGAGAGAAAATTATGTGGTTTTCATACAAACAAGATTACACGCATGAAGAAATTGGAATTTTGGAAATGTTGCTCGTTCTGCACTGAAATTCAACTGTTTGGACACCTGCTTGGGAGGCAGGATACCCAGGTTACATCAGGGATTGTGCTTTAACCAGCTACCTGAGGAGGGAGCATTTTTCTCCAACACTATGAAATTCCACTGTATGTTTTCAGCTTTAGCTCAATTCTATATTCTATTCTATTATTCTACAGTTTTAGATACTGGCTCCATTCTACCTTGTCAGTCATTATTTTCTTTATGTTGAACGCCACGTATTAAAGGTGCTATATAAGTTGTTGTACTTTTCTTAATTATTCCATATTTCCAAAACTTCATTCCTGCAAGAATGTTGCTGATAAATTCTTTTATTGTGATTTCCACTGGCAGCTTCCTATTTGTCCAGTTTCTGAACTGAATGTAAAGCAAATAGCGCTGAATAGAATAGTACCATGCAGTGAGCAATAACTGTCAGAGAAGAGCTTGGAATTGCTATCGTTCTTTTAAAAATAGAGGTGCTGCAAAGAAAGATGTAGAGCTAAGAAATGAATCAGGAAAAAGGCCAGGGGACAGAGCACTCACTTCCTGGGCTGATGGGTTCTTTTTTTGCTTGCTTCTTTGCATTTTTACCTTCTCTTCTTCCTCCTTTGGAATTCATGGCAGTATCCTTGAACTTAAATTTTCATAATCCCTGCACTTTTCGAGTTATAAACTCCTCCTGTTCTAATATAGTTAAATGTGGTCTTGTTCTAAAGTCTCAGTATTAGTAAAAGACAGCAAGTTGACACAGTGCCTCTGGATTTGAGACTTTTGCCCTAGAGGATAAGTCGCATGTAACGCTATACCTGCATATGCATGCTTGTATGTGGGAGTATAACTGATATAATGACCTGTAATTGCTAAGACTGGACTCATTTTTGGCTACAATCCTGCTTCTTCAGGGTAGTTGAATACTGGAGTGAGAATGTGAATTCTGTTTCCATAGTGAGCTTCTTGGTAAAGGAGTCAAAAGAACTGTCAAGAAATCTGTGCACAGTATTTAACAAAGTATTTTCTTTCCAAGTTCTATCAGATGTGTGAAGTACATGGCTGAAGGTTTGTTTGTGGAAAGGATAAAGATGCAGTTCGTCATGGTGTTAAATCAACATGGTGTTATTCAAAATAATAAAGACATTGCCTTTAATAAGATATTGATGTCTAATAAGCTTTACCGTAGGCTTAAAGAAAATTTTAATCATATTTCTTTGTGTTAGACATATATAAATATGTTTTGAAAGAAACCTGTACCATAATGTTCTCTTTCCTTCTAGGAAAGGGAACGGTTATTACGATCTAAAAAACAGAGGAGGAAAAGTCTGAAGCCTCCAAAGGTGAGTAAAAGTTTGGTTTTCCTTGCATTTCTGTTATGAACAACACTTGTTTCAAATACTGCCTGAAATTAATGCTCTGCTTAAGTTAATGACAAAAAATCATATAATTTTCAGCTTTTCTCTGCTGAGTGCTTAGTAGCTTTTCCTTAGGATGAATGCAGGAGCTGCAATTTTGTGCTTCACACAAATGTTCTTGTTTGGGGTTTCTTTTTAAATAAACAGGGTAATTACAATTACACTGTGGCCTAAATACTCAAGTAGTTTGAGGCCTAAATCATGTAATGACTTGAAGCAACCTACATTTAAAAGGACAAATACCTAGTCCTTTTAAAAGAAAACATACCCTTTAAAATACTTGTACCAAGTTACTGCTTAATCACAACTGAAAACTTTAACTCATACTAGGAGTGTTATTGGAATGGTGTTTCTGTATATGATGTACAAATAAGAAGATTCCAACTATTTTTTCCCTAGCAATTATTTTGTTCTAGAATGTGAATTGCAAGAGAAAATTTTAGTTTGAGGAAACAAAAAAGTCTTGCTTCAGAGTGTAATTTTAGTGTTTATTGTAACACCTGCTTAAAGTAGTTAATTTTGCTGAATATTTTGGGTTTTTTTGGAGTTGAACGTTAGCAGCCTGGAGCATGTGAAGGGTGGAGAATGGGATAAGAGGGAAAAAATGGAAGTGAATTGTGGAGAGATGATTGCCATCTACATTATAGCTTAAGATGTATTCTGTCACAAACGGTGCTTGTTGTCAGTGTGTTCTGCACAGCATATTTCTAGTGACCTCCAGGTGGTGCTTTTTTATTGTTTTGCATTCTGCAATACCTGTATTTTGAAGAATTTAGCCTTTGGGATTCTTTCTTTGTTTCAGCAGTTATTGCTTCAAATTACTACTAATAATGATGTGTCTTTTACATATGAAGAAAAATTCACCAGTTACAGTAAATCTTGCACACATTACTGTGATATGTAATGGAAAGCTGACAGATGCCAAATATATTTACAGTAACCCTGAACCGTTCTTTCTTGATGTAGTATACCTGGAAGTTTGTGTGTTAAGTTTAAAAACAGGACATATATATATATATAGGGAACTAATGCTGTAATTTTTGCAGTTGCATCTGACTATTAGGCCTTTTCCAGTTTTAAATTAATTAAGAACTTTTGCTAAACTGTAAAGTTTCTAATGAAACAAAACTAGTTAATTTAATTTTTAGGAGCTAGTAACTAGTGATATTAATTTCAATAGCCTGAACACTTCCATAACTATTCACTTCTGTCTTACAAATATTTTCTGTTAGTAGAACTTCAACTGGCCTGGACTCTGTACCCTTTCCTTTTACCTATTTGATGTTGTGCAAAGTGTTGCTTTTTTAGTTTCTTATTATGTTCATTATTGCCTAAAGGAAGAGTTGAACATGAAAGTTGAAGGAAAATGTACATGATGTCATTAAAAAATTGTGATGGTGCTATTCTTCATGTGGTAAGAATACTGTGGTTGAGGGACTTCTGCAGAGATTACTGCAAGAATTGTGTTCATGTGAGCTGCAGAGTTAGTAGGACTTTGCTTCTTATTTATAATATGATAGATACACCAGAAAGAATAAATTGGCATATCTCCTGCTACTTATTCCATTGCCTGTCAGGAAAGAAGTAATCAATAATGTATTTGTTAGTGTCCTATTACCTGCCACTGTATAATCCTGTAGGCTATTCACACGAATATGCAGTGTTGACTTTCATTTTAAGCATTTATTGATGTTAGCTTCTAAAAATCCAGTCCTGGCATACAGGCTAGTTTCCTTCCATGCCACCTATGTGGTTATGTGAGGATCAAAATCTCAAAGGAAGCTGTGTTTCCTACAGTTTTCCAGCAGGTTTTTTTTTCTTTTATTTAAACAATCTATGTAGAATGAGCTACTTATCCAGATGGGCTGTTTGGTTTGTATCATCTTCAGCCTTTCTGGTTTAACAACCTATCTCAGGAATCTGAATAAAAAGGTAGAATTCATTTAACCCAGCACTGCAAATTATCAGGTTTGGCTGCTGGAGTTGGATCTATTTCCAGCTGTGTCCTGCTTCCCTTGACAAAGTGATAAAGGAAATAACTGACGAGAATTAGTTTTCATGAAGGTGTTCAGATAAGCCAGACTAGAAGGTATGAAAAGATTCCTATTTTGTTCTAATAGACAAAAACTTGTTGCATAGGGTAAAGACCTACACTCACCTCCTGCTGCATCTTCTTCTAAACAGGTACTTTTACGCTCCTGCTTCCTTAACTTTTGAGGTACTCTGACTGGACAGTGTTTGTGTTTGTTTTCTATGAATGTTTTCCTGAGGGTGAGTCCTGTCAACTGGGATAGAACCCATGACATGTCTTTCTCCATCTTGGAGACACCTTTGAGTGATTTCTCAGTCCAGTCCAGTAGTCTTTATGGTCCAATTGGGTCTAAATAAATTCAGTTCATCTGAGAAGCTTTTGAAAATACCAAGGATTTAATTTCGTTTGTTTCTGAAGTTAGATGGCTATGTTATTTCTGGAGCTCTGTAGGTGCACTAGGTTACTGTTGCTAGTGCAACTATGAGCACTCTTTTAATCACCAAGGGGCATAGGAGTCCATAACACAGTGCTGGCAACCAGCTTGGGTTCCCTGGAGAAAGGAGCAGCTCAGTGGGATGAGCCTCTGTGGCAGCAGAGTGTATAGAGGGAGTAGTGTAATGACTCTATAGTCAGGTACTGTAGGATAGTAGGTTTTTGGTGTTGTAGTTTTATTGTTGTGTGTTTTGTTGGGCTTTTTATTTTAACATCCTATTGGACTCCTTAGGAAAAAGATGTACCAGAATTAAACCCTTTTTTGCTGTCTAAAGCATGTTGGCTTGTTGGTGGTTTGTTTTGGGTTTTTTTTTTTTCCACCAATTTTAGTAGTGAAATAAGTAAGAAACTCCAGGACAGTATTTTGGTGGTTTTGTCTATTTTTTACATACAGAAAGGAGTCAAAATGATTTCATGATTGATGGAGTCACACATATGAAAAGAAGACATAATTGTTGAGTTTGTTTGGAAGATTCAGGACTATGGATTCATTTCTTTACTTAAACTTGAATATATAAACTGTATTGGTGACAGTAGAAAGCCTGCAAGTTGGTGTGATGGAGTTCATACTTCTTGTTTTGTATTTTTCCTTTTTTATCTGCCTCTGTGTTTTGGTGTGCCTGTATTTTTCTGGCTGCCAAGAAATGACATATAAGCATGAAGGTAAGAAGTTGCTGATTTAGCTCACCAGGAAATTAATCTTGGGTCATTGTTATCATGTGCGATTAAGTATTTGGAAATAAGATATTTAAATGTAAAGTGAAACTACTTTAGCAACAGAGAAATCAGGTTATTTATATGTAAATATATCTAATCCAAACCATTAAAGATGGGTGTATACTGAAATTAACATATAATATAGTCTGTGTCACTATGACAATGAAATTTATGACATTCTAAATTTCAAAGTTTACCAAGCATGCTTCTGTAGAAGTTAGAATATTAATGTATACATTTCCTTCAAAAGTGTCTAAAAACATTGATAGAAATCCACATGCAAAATACTTGCTATAAAAAGCATGGCAGTAGTCAGTGTTAGAATTTAAATCAGAATTCTTCAGCAATTTATATGACTATTTCTCAGTTAGGAAGTTATAAATCAGAAACAAGAGATGTACAAATCAACATAAAAGAATCTTTTGTTTATTGGGATTTGTTTATTGAGAATGTTTAAATTTTCAATAAAGGTTGGAATTAAAAGGGTCACTGTGCTTCCTAAGCAAATGAGGGAAGAGTAATGTGTCTTTACAGGGTTTTAGTGCTATAACTCTGATTTTGTTTTGATTTTATGGTACCACTTAAATCAAGGTAGAGTATTTTGGCTGTTGATAAGACCTGTGCTGAGCCAAAAGAAAATATTAAGCATTATGAAGCTTTGTGAGAAAGTGAAAGCTGTACTTTGTAGACATACTGGCAGAATGTATGCAGTTAGGTAAGTCTAGAAAACTGCAGGGAAAGGTAAATCTTTGGAATTCATCATAAGGCATTATGGGTAAAATAAAACTTTTCAGTATCCTGAATGAAACTGATAGCTCACAATTCTACTCAGTTTGGCTACCGAGAAGCACCATGATATTCTGAATTAATAATAACTGATAATGTCTTTCATCGTTTAGTCTTTTTAATGAATAGGGCTATTTTTTTTTCCTCACATACAGACTATAGTTTATATCTAAAAAACCCAAACCAAACCCTGTGACATCAAGATCTGGGATTTAATGCCAAGGCAGTGCCAAAAATAGTGATGGATAGACAGTTTTTCTTTGTATCTTCTTAATTTTCCTGCTTCTTTGAATTTGTGCTGGGTTATTAGAACACTTTTATGGTCTAATAAGATGTTTGGCTTTCTATTGATTAATATCAGTTAACTTTGCTATTTTGGAAGGAGAAATACTGGAAAAACTGTTTTTCTAATTGAATGTTTATGCAATTTTATATTTTTTAACAGTGTTCTCTGTGGAAATTTACTGATTTCTGAGCATATGTTAGGAAAATGATAGAAAGAGGTCTCAAAATGATGAATTATTGCAGTTGTGATATTTTATATGAAATGTATTTTTCACAATGAGTATTATGCTATTCATATCCATTGGCTACTCATTTTCTCTAGTTTTCTGTAAGCATGCATTTAATTGAGTACATTTTGTAACTTTTTAATATCTTCATTGAAATACTGGTCTTGCCCAAGCATAGTTTTGGTTTTGGGGGTTTTTTTTTGGCTGATATTTTTTTTGTTGGTCATAATATTAGAGCAACCTTTTGAAAAAAATCAGGATAATGGTATTGAAAAAATAAATGGAAGCCAACAATTTACACTTTGAAGTAAGGATTTGCAAAAAAAGTATTACAAACTAATCTGTTTTATTTTTTTAAATAAGTATGACTGATGATATTTGCTCCACATTGTTCTTCAGAATATTTTTCTCTTTTGGTTCCACATCTGATGTGTTGCATCATACTGGGTTACTTACTTCTGAAAAGATGTTGCATTCCTCTACTCTGGCTCTTGTAAGATGATATTATTTTGATAATTAACTTTCATACTTTTGCTAGAACATGATTTTATTGGAAATTATCCAGTGCTATGTGCACTTCAGTCCTCGGAGGTTCTTATACGGCTGATACTAAATAAGTAGCTCATTTAATCAGAGAACAAGGGTTTAGTGGAACTTTTTTTATTCCTAAATACTAAAATAATGGCCAGAGAAGATCATGGCTACTGCTTACTGGGTCATGGGGATTTTCCAGCTGTTTTGCTAGTAACTAAGAAAAACTAACTTTTCAGAGGCATGTTGTGGAGACATTTTTTGGATTTGATGAAGAATCTCTTGATTCAGAAACATCATCTATAACTTCATATAACACAGATAAAACCGACAGGACACCGGCAACACCAGAAGAAGATTTGGAAGATGTAAGTAGTAGCTGAATTGTTCTTAAGTTCTGTAACAATAGACATGGAATATAAATACAAGCTTTTTTTTTTGTTTTGTTTTGTTGGGTTTCTTTTAGCTATTCTGCTGCAGGAACTATGAGAGATTTGGCAGATAATTGCTTTGTTTTGTTTCAAGTCCAGTAACACTTACACAGTCATTGCAGTACAATTAATAAGATAATATTCTGCCTGACAGATCTGGCAGATAGTGGACTGAAAAATAAAATGGTTTTTTTTCTCAAACCCTTTCTTAATAGTCAAAAGAAAATTAATAGGCACGTTGCTTTGCTAAAAGTCAGTAGTTATTAGACAATAGTTTGCCTTTGAACCTTACCATTTATTTGACTGTTTTGATACAACCAGGATTTTCTTCCTTTATTTGCAATACCCAGGGAGGCTTTTGAATTCATTAAAGCTTAAATGATCATACGTAGTAAATACCTACTGACATGTTTTGTCTCTGCTCTGTGATATACAGTGCAGCTGGCCTACTTTAAAAGATTACAGGGCCAAGGACAAAGCATGAATTAGGTGATGCTCTTTTTCATCTTTCTTTCCTGTTGACTAACTTGAGCCTAATACTCCTCAGTCACAAGAAGCTTCCTATTTTCCTAGGTTTAGTATCTAATAATATTGTAATCTCTTTTCCTTGGAGCTTGAGTTCCTGGAGCAAAAATTAATTAAAGGGAAGGACATTTCTTGCTCTCAGCATTAGAAGAAAGACCTTGAAAGTGTTGATGTCAGTTGCTCAAAATTAAAAGAAAATTAAGACATTAAAGTACTTCATGCTTAAAAACAAGGGGGGGTGAGGGGATTTAAAAAACAACCTTATGGCTTTTGAAATAATTTAAATAAATTCTGAATTAGTTTGCTTGTGCTGGCAAAATACTTTATCCTGGCATTGTAGAGAAAAAAGAGTAAGGAGGGAGTGATGGACTGCATGGTAAATAGAACAAACACCTCTGAAACTCCTGTGGCTCTGGAGCTGCTGAAGCCAGTGGTGCCTAAAACAATTCCCTCTAATTTTTCCCCAGTCAGTTTCTTCCCATTTCTATACATTGCTGCTTACCCTGTCCAGAAATTGTAAGATCGATAGTTACTGATTTGTGCGTTTCTGCATCATTCTCATATCAACCTTTCTTCCATTTCCAATTAAGTTCTTTAAACCTTTACTTTGAGACTCAGTATGTGTTACTTATTGTGTTTGTGTTTATATAAACAAACCGGTTATCATATATATTTATACAAAACTACTTTTTCCCCCCCTTTTCATTAAGACCACACCTAAAGAAGAAGCTGAACTAAGATTCTGCCAGCTAACAAGAGAGTATCAAGCTTTGCAAAGAGCATATGCGTTGCTTCAGGAACAAGTTGGTGGGACCCTGGATGCAGAGAGAGAAGCAAGGGTAATTTTCAAACTGAAATTTCTTTTAACTCTGAAATCATTGAAAAATATGACAAACCCTTGGAGTAGCAAGAGAGATCTTTGCAGGTCAGTGAAATGCAAAACACAATATTTTTGAGGATTAGTGGATATCACTCAGGTGACAATTTTTATTCATTTGGTGGAATCAGAACAAAGATATCAGTATACATTATTCTAGTATGCATAATATATTATAGATTATAGTAGTAGGATGGTGTTATTGAGAATTATATTCCAGTTGAACCTGCAATTTGGATAGAACATGCTGGATTTAAAATGAATTGGGGAATAGGTTGTTGTAAGTACTTGGGTACTTTTATGATGAGTTTCCCAAATCTTCGTTCGTGAAGTCAAGCCATGATGATATTAAATCTGATAGAGAGGATTTTTCTTTAAGCATTTTGTCAAATGTATGAAATCATAATTTCTTTTTAAAATCCCAGTTTGAGAGTATTCTTCCACTAAAAAGTACATAGCTAACTGTGGTTCCTATTAAGTCAGCGTGTGTGATCATTTTCTCTCTCTGACATAAGTGTTTTTTTATCCTCACAGCAATCTCTGTACTATAGGTATTTGAGATGTGAGAAAATATGTATTCTGTTTTCACTTATCCATCTGCTACCATTGTATTAAAGCATTAGTGCAGAGATGAAGTGAGCAGAATCATGCTTTTTCCATTCTGTTCTTTCCAAACGGGGGAGGAGAGAAATCACTTCATAATGAATTGGTGAGCTCTGACTCAGTCCCCAGATCTGTTCACTGAACAGCAGTGGCATCATAAAAAGGCTGAGCTAACTAGAGGCAAGATTTCTTCTACTTTACCCCAACTCCTCGCAGATAGTGGCATGTCTAGAAAAGCAGCACATTTACATGTCACCCTCTACTTGAATGACAATTGCGATTGATGACCAAAGAACACATAACATCCAAACGGGCAAGTAATAGCCATAGGGCTCAAAACTTCATAATCTTCACCTCATGACCTTCATTCTGCATCAAGTAGAGCTTGAACATCTATATTACTGCCTACTGAGAGAGTCGGCTGATGTCATTGCTAGGACACTCTCAGTTGTTTTTGAAGGGTCGTGGAATTTGTGGAGGTTCCTGAGGACTGTAAGGAGGCAAATGTGACTCTTTGAGAAAGGCAAGAAGGAGGATCCGGGGAAGTGAAAGCTGGTCATTCTCAGTCTGATCCCTGGGAAAGGGATGGTGCAAATTATCTTTGAAAGTGTTTCAAAATGTCTGAAAGACAAGAAGTTGACTGGGAGTGATCAGCATGAATTTATGAAAGGGAAATCACACTAAACTTGCTTAGTAGCCTTCTATGGTGGGATGGCTAGCATTGAAAATGAGTTGAGAGCAGTGGATGTTGTTTATCTTGAATTTAGTAAGTCTCAATTCTCTCCCCCATGAGATTCTCGTAGGCGAACTGATAAACACAGACTAGACAAGTGGACGATA